TTTCGGCGAGCGAAGGGCGACATTCGCGAACCGTCACGGACACCGGCTTTTTCGCCGGCCAACAACAATGGTTGTGGAACATCGCCAAGCCTCCCCATGACTATGTAATATACCACCTAGGGATTCCCTCGGTGCAGAACATGGCGAACAAAATGCCCTCTCAGTTGGCCATGGCAAAGCATCCATACCCCCTACTTCAAATACCCACTTGTTTTTAGGGTATTTTTGAGAAAACCGATCGGTTCTCCATGGTAAATACCTCCATTGTTAGTAGAGGGTCGACATCATACCCCAAAAAAAGGCCGGGTATTGGGTGGAAGGGGCACCCCTTGTTGGTTCAGGTTGCCCCTAGTGGTTTGGATTGGCGGTTTGGGGAATTGAACCCTGAGGGAAACCCCTCCTCTACCAACCAGAGGCTCCTGGTTTTGAGACCCCCAGCCTCCGGGGTGTCTAATGGAGGGCTCGGGTCTTCCATTGAAAGTTCCAGGAGCCTCTGGGCAACGGGTAGGTGACGTCCAACCAAACTCATGCAGCTCCTCCAGGAGCAGGATGGACGGAGGGTCGTGCATGCCATACTGCCTGACTGATCCCCGCGAGTCCAAGTCCCTTGGTTTGGAAGAAAAAAAAGGGAACCCTTCGAGGGGTACCTCCCATGTCCATTCTGAACCCAGGGATCCGAATCTTTTCAGGAAACCATCAAAAACCCAGGGAAAGAGCTGGTTGTTGAAAAAGTAATGGGGAATCAACCCCTAGAACCCTTGCAGCTTCACCATTTTCAGGAAAAAAAAACTGCACACAAAGAGGAGCAACATGGGATGCTGAACAGCTGCCTAAAATTCCAAGAGTTGCACAGTAATTTATGTACCAAGCATAAAACGCACCAATTAGGCAATTCGAAGTGGGACCCTAATTTCTGTACCTTCCTGAAGCTGCACAGGCTCATTCTGCTCTCCCTGCACGTGTTCCATAACTTGCTGCTGAAAAACCTGGCTCTGTGTTCCCCGGCAATTTGCTGCCCCAAAACAACAAGTATTTGCAGCGGTGGCTATATATCTCGACCTTTGCAACCAACAATGAAAACAACCAAATCATGGCAAGCTAACATCCGGCGAAGATCGCCCGCAGATCAAAAACGAACCAACAGAAAACCCATGGGGGAAAAAATGTTATACGCGTACCAAGTTCGGGCCGAAAGATTTTGTTTCCACCCCCGTCTTTGGGAGCCGCGCAGTAGCGAGCTGAGCACCTCGTCGTTCATGCGCTCCGAGGAGAAATCTCGGGCTGAAAGCCGCTGGAGGGGGGGGGGTCACCGGAGTTCCTCTTAAGTTGCTCCATGTTGCTCGGACATCATGCAGGTGGGGGTTTATGTCGATCCACCAACCACTTCTGAGAGGGTTCCCCATTAAATTTCATGGCCGCATGTCGTTTGATGGAAAACCCATTCGTTGGCCAAAAGTTGTTCAGTCCTAACATCCAAGCAAAATGCAACGAAGGATGGAATTTACACCTCAGTTGAAACCCAGACATACAAGGTGAAGTAAGCTTTCGAGGCCATGACGAAAAACCGACCGAAACGAGGAAACCAAAAGGCCAAAACGTGGCTTGAAGGCTGGCTTTGTCTTTGGACCCTGCTTTTGACGGCCAACGTTTCTTGGCGACCCACAACGCAAACTGCAGGTTTCGCAGACAATTAAACTGTTCGATTCAAATGGTCCAACACTCCAAACAAAAGTGGTTTTCCTTTGAGCCTCCCCTTAAAACAGTCCAAAAAAAATACCCTCCAAAAACGAAACACCCCTGGACATTCCTCTGTGTACTTTTTCCCGGGTGTTTCACGTGTTAAGGCGTTTTGGGCGATTTAGGTGCTTTGCGTGGATTTGCGCTTTTGTGCGATTTCTTGCGGGTGTGTGCGACTTTTTGCGGGCATTGTGCGGCCATTTGTGGGAGATTTCTTGCTTAGGCATTTGCGGGAATTTGCGGGCGCTTGCGTTGCAAGCTGAGGCACAAACAGAAACCACAAGAAAAAGTACTCGTTGGAATGTCCAGGCCCTG